CGGGGGACTTGTTGCAAGGCGTGGCGTGCCCAGAAATAATTACGTAAGTATTAGACCCGTCTTGGCGTTCCTGCCGAGGGGGGAGTGTGTTCTAATTGCAAGGATGGAGTTGATTCCTGACAATGCTTCGAGTTGGAAAGCTGGAGGGGAGGGGGAGCGGAGCAGAGGGAAAACATCGCTCTCTGTCTGTGGACAGATGAAACTTGCTTAAAAGGAACCCAGATGTATTTCTGGGCGTGGGATAAGGCGCTAGTACAGTGTAGTTCTGCAAAACAAAGGGGAAGGATGGAAGCTGAATTGCAGTTTTTCCTGCGTTCACATTACACGGTTGGTCTCTCTCTCTTAAAAAAAAAAAAAAAAGGCAACAAACCCCTCTGCTGGCACAGATGAACTGATACAAGTTTAGATGAGTTCTGTCTGAGTCACAGAAAATCTTTATCTTTGGATATTATGGTGCCACTTTCTCATTTGGGGAAGGGAACCGTTGCATAGTGTGTTTTTCAAGTGTTCTGTAGCTTGAATGCCCAGGAGACACTTAAAAGTTGAACCATTTAAAAAAAATACTATTCACTCCAAAATGTTACACTAAAACAAAGGTATTTTATTTCATGTGGTGATGTGCATTAATCACAAAGATGTGAAGTAAATACCATTTATAAATGCTCTCTCAAGCTGAAGACAATATTTATGTTCCTTTGCCCATGAAATCTTGTCTGTACAGTAATAAAAATGAAACTATTTTTATGGAGTAGATAAATATTTTTGCATGCTATTTAAATATTTTTGATGCTAAGGTAACTGTGTGATAGGCATCATACATGTTTTGGTTGCTGTAGAAGAAAAATACCTTCTCATTTGTGTAATGTTGCTTCATTTTCTGTCAATATGTCCTTTAGCTGTGTCAAAACAAAACCTGAAATAAGCTGTCCTGTTTATATTTTCATATGTGTGAGTATGAATGTGTATATTGAATGTATTCTTGTCAGGTGGTGAGAAGAGATAAAGAATGGCATTTATCTGAGGTTTTTCTAGTAAAACTGGAAGCTGAAGTTGTATAGGAACACCTGTGGTGTAATTAGTATTACAGTTCAGTTATTCAAGGAGA